CCATGATGTCGGTGCTAGAAGGCTTAATCGCATTGTCACGCTTTGAAGCACATAGGCAATCTCTGCAGTGTGAATGGGGTGGAAAAAACACTTGCAGACGATGACTTAGGAAAAGCAAGCAAAACATACACACGCAACGGAACACATTCCAACACTCTCCTGATATCCAAGGTGCCTATATTGTCGACATCGTCATCAAGCTCGTCCATACATATATAATACATTCGATGATGTATACATGATTATAACCTAGTCGGCTGGTTATAACCTAGTCGGGTGGTTATAACCTAGTCAGATGGTATAACGAAAAACGTTGGGGACCCCAAATAGGGGTGCGCCCGAACATTCATGTCTTTCTATGCTGAAGGTGCGGAGAGGGTGTGAAGAATACGTTCAGAAGAGGATCTAGGGCATTTCAGGATGTGGCTTTCGCAGTCTCGTAGTAAACTCGTGAGGGGCGCGGGCGAGGGGGGAAAAGGGATAGTGTCAGTTTCCGAATCTTGGGTATCGCTATGGCTCTTGGTTTGAGTCTGAGAGAGAGAAAGAGAGAGAGAGAGAGAGAGAGAGAGATATATATATATATATGTTTTTTGTGTGTCGTTTTTGTTTGTTTGCTTTCTCCCTGCATGCTCGCCTAAACGGCTGCGTCTGACCAGACTCATTGCCCGAAAGTGAAAGTGAAACTCGATATATCTCGATGTCCTAGAATTGAAAGTGCAGTACACGGCCTACCTACTTAGCACTAACCTTAGCTACATAGGCCCCGGGTCCTTCCCCTCACAAGTTTGGATCCAGAAAATAACCCTTAACCCTAAACCCTAATAAACTTTGGATCCAGAAAATAACCTTAAACCCTAAGCCCTAAACCCTAATAAACTTCTGGGGCAAGGACAGGCACTTGGCCCCGATTGGAGAGGTAAATCTCGGACTCTCCCACCTCCACCGCCAGGGCTCCGCGGCTTTAGGCTTCAGGGATTGGGGTTCAGGGTTAGTCTTTAGGGCTCTTGGTTTAGGGCAGGGTACCGGGTTCAGGTTTAGGTTTAGGATGCAGAATCTAGGGTTCAGGGCTAAGGGTTTGGGGTTGACCTGTACTCAGACCCAAAATGCCCACGTTCTAGAGTCCTTCACCCTGCAGCACCGGCAAAGCTTGGGTGCGGCGAAGGGTCTGCAGGTGTCCAGTTCCTTGGACAGCTATGGGTTGAAGGTTGACCTTCGGATTACCTACGGCGTATGCTAAAAAGGTTGAAGGTTTCTAGCCTTACACCCCGACCCCGAACGACTACAACTATTTTCAAGCGTTGCTTACACCGTCGGCTGGAGTAGGTGGGAGGATGTGGGCGCAGTAGTTAGACCTGCAGAAGCATGCTCCAATAATGTAACGGTATAGATGAGAAGCCGAAACTGCCAGCAGCACCGTTTGCCTAAAGCGTATGCTAAACTTTGCTCAGTCCGATAGAATGAATTGGAACGGCAGAGAAGTCTAAGATCCTTCACGAATCGCTGATCTGCTTCGCTCCATCGGCGGTAATGTAGGGGCCTTAATAATTTGAATAGGGTTTGGGGGGGGTCCTTATTATAACTATAGTATATTAGACCCCAAACCCTGTTCTACTTATTAAGGCCCTTATACTAATGCCCCGTGCTTTTGACATCCCTTGTTTCGGTTAGGCGACGGATGCCAGATCCTTCAACATGCGGGGAGAGAAGAGACAGATCCTTGGCAAGCTTGTTGCTGTCCTGGGCCCTAAACCCTAAACCCTAAACCCTAAACCCTAAACCCTAAACCCTAAGCCAACGGTTTGGGCTTCGTGCGAGACAACCGCACGAACCAGGTCAGTGACGAGAGACTCAACAGTCACCGGAGTCACCGGTACGGTTGATGGACAAAATCCTGCATTACCCACTATAAGGAATATACCATAATTCCGATAGTTTAGGGTCCTTAAGGTCATGCAGGATTTTGTCCATCAACCGTATGTCCCAGGCGGAACTACGGAGTTATGACCCTGCCACGGACTATCCCATGATGAAAACCACAGAGGCCTCCGGTCTTGGAACTTTCCTTGGGTCTTGGGGTTTAGGGATGTATGCCTGTGGGGTTGAGGGTTTAGGGTTTAGGGTTGAGCGTTCAGGGTCCCAAGGCTTCCAGACAAGTGCATTAGGGGTTCATTGTGGGTTCTGCCCATTCGTTTAAAGCGGTGCTTTAAGGGCTCGATAAGGGATCTATAGTATAGGGCCTTGATAGTTCAAAGAACTACGGCTGACAGTTTAGGGAGAAACTGCATTTATATATTGGGACTACAGGGAAATAGTCCGCACCTCGGTGAAGGGAATGTCGCCGAAATCCAAATCGTTCCTGTGGCAGGCTTGCTGGTTCGGTGTGCTCCACCGTTTAAGTAATATAAGGACCTTGATAATCAGAAGAGGGTTTTGGGTGTCTATATACTACTATAATTGTAAAAAGGAACCCGCAAACTAGTATTGGTGATTAGCTAGGCCCCTACATTACGGTATTTAGGGTGGTGAGGGTGCGACGGTGTCAGGGTCTCGGGGTTTGAGGTTGTGGCGTTTTCGCAGATGTGTCAGTGGCTCTGGAAGCGAACTCTTCGCAAGACGTGAGATATCGGAGATGGGGCGAGACCTATGTAGAAAAAGCCCTCACTCCAGAACCCCCCCAAAACCCAAAGCACACCACGTCCGCTGTGTACCACTGGAGACCTTCAGAGCGAAACCCCTAGCACCCTGAACTCCGAAACCCTAGAAGCTCTACCATCTAAACCCCAAACCCTAAACCAACTTAAGGTCCAGAAGCTTATCATCTAAACCTAAACCCTGAGGTTAAGTGGTTCAGGGTTCTGGGGTGTAAGCAGCCATATCTGCCACAATCCCCCCAAGCCCCAATCCGAACCCCATAAGGCTTGATTCGAAGCTCCCGTCCTGTCCAAGCTGTATTTGCACGGCGCAGCAGTGCCCTTCAGGGCCACCTGGTGGGCTGCTCGGAATCCACTTAGAGGTTCCTGGGTAGCTATGAGTAGTATAGGGGCCTGAATTGTTAGAATAGGGTTTCGGGATACCACAATTATAATAAGGAGCGCCCAAAACCATATTCTAATCATCAAGGCCCCTACATTAGGGTTTCGGATTTCTGTAGGGTAAGGTTTCAGGTTTTGGGCCGATATCAGAGCAGCATTTGGGTTCCTGCAGGGTTTCTGCATGGCCGTATAGGGAGCTTAGGGTTTAGGGTTTAGGGTTTAGGGTTTAGGTACACAGGCTTTAGTGTTCATGGGTGGCTGCCTGTAGGTTTATCGGTACCTTTTGGGCTAAAGAAAGCAGTTCTAATGCTTGTTACCTAGACTCTGGCCCTAAACCTTAAACTGCCGTACTTGCCTTCTAGGAATCCTCTCGCCTGTAAACCCTAAGCCCTTATACACTCCTGCAGACCCCCGTTATAAAGCCCCCATAAGAACTTCGTTCATCCCATACTTCTTTAAGCAAACCGAAACCAGGCCCAATTGGAAATTGGGAATTGATGTCATCGTCTGTGGCCGTGTAAAAGTTCCCGCCCTGGCTCGGCTGTAACTTCCTTACGACGTACACAACTAATTCAAGCAGCGCCCTGCCCCTAAAACCTAAACCTAAAAACCCTAAAACCCCCCAACGCCTAGAACCTAAACCCTGAACCCCCAACGCCTAGAACCTAAAAGCCCTAAACCCCCAACGCCTAGAACCCAAACTCTAAACCCCTAAACCCTCAGACCCCTCATCCCTTAGCCCCTTCACCGTTGCGGGCCCCTGGTCGCAACCCGGCTTCCCAGCTTATGCCACCGTCCAACTCGAAACCGACAGGCAGCCCATCCCGGCAGCACATTAGATACTACAATATATGGTATATGGGGGTTTCCGAAAATAGGGGACCCTAATATAGCACCTTAATATAAGGACCCCAAAACAAGGTACCCCTAATTTTCGGAAACTCCCATATGGTAAAGCATGATTAGGATGAGGTTGCGGTGGTTCTTGCACGATAATTCGAAGGAGCCCTAGGGGGTCGTATGGGTAATTGATGATTCAGGATTACACCGGCAGCAAAACTGCACAGCATGATTTTGATGGTTTGTGCACTAGTGTAGGGATTCCAGCTGTCGTCATCATAGTCATAGTTTGCACCTGCAGCACCTTCGCTTGCCGTTCCGCGAAATCGCGCGATGCATGAGCGTGCTGGAGGCCACAACAGGAACATGATGGAAGCTGCGTAAAACGCACCTGGTCGAATCCTAAACCCTAAACCCTACACCCTAAACCTTACACCCTAAACCCTAAACCCTAAACCCTAAACCCTAAACCCTAAACCCTAAACCCTAAACTGGATGATGTCGGCCCGGCGGCAGGTCGCTTTCAAGGCCGCTTCGGCGGCGACATAAAGCCGCGCTGAAATGGCTTCGAATCTCTCCAGCCGTGAACTTAGGGGTTTTAGGGTTTAGGGATTAGGGTTTAGGGTGTAGGGCTGAACCCGAACACGCTAGACCTTAAGCCTTTCGCCTCTGAGACGCACTGCTCAAACGCTAGCCCTGGATTTCTAAAGCTCCGTAAAACTCTAATCTCGAAGCGCCAAAGCCCTAAACCCGAAGCGCCAAGCCCCGAAGATGCCGCACAGGGCTTCGCGATCTAAGGCTTTAGGTGCCACTGATTTCCTCAACCCTAAACTAAGCCCTGAACCCGACTCCCTAAACTTAAAGACGCCACCTCGTACTCGGGGCCGCCGTCCACCATGCACACCGCTACAGCTTTGAAGGAGCGATCGCGGAGGGCTTCATACCTGGCATCTTTGGGGTTTGAGGCTTAAGGTTTTGGGTTTAGGGTGTAGGGTTGGGGTTTAGGGTTTGGGGTTAAGGAATTTAGGCATAATTACACTTTACTGTACTTCATAATACTCATGCTTATGAGACGACACACCACTGACGGAACACTAGGATTATTGTTCAAGTCAGTCGGGTCTCGGAAGTGAACGGCTTGGAGGGTTTATACTCACTCCTCAAGTTTCCTACGGGCCGCGGTGCTTCCGGCTTTAGGGTTTAGGGGTTTGGGGCTTGGGGTGTAGGGGTTAAAGGGGTTTAGGGGTTTTCCTTGGTGGGACCTCGGGGCCTCCTCTCTGTGGAGCCGACCCCCTGAGCCCCTCCTCAAGGAGCTCCAAGGCGCTCTTTCAAAGCTGTCAAGATCTTCAGGGTTTAGGGTTCAGGGTTCAGGGTTTAGGGTTTAGGGGAGGTGTTGAGCCATGAGAAATGCGACCTTGAGCTGCTCCAAGCCTGTAGAGCGATAGTTACATTGAGCATAAGTTAATGGCAGCATCACAGGGAGCACGAACGGGGCACACACACACACACACAAGTCGACTCGGGCCTTGAACTTTGTTTGACAATTTCATAGAGGCTGAACAAGTCTGTCACCCTAGAACTCCCCAACTGAAGCCCTCAGTAGCACTCGCATCCCCTTTTCCTTCAGGTATACCCCAACCGCTCAAAGCCTATACCCCCCAACTGCAACACCCGGTAAACGCAAACCCGACTGCCAAACCCTCTGCTGCGTTTTCTGTTCCTTTGAGAACCCCCTCTTAAGCCCGTTACTGAGCCTTCCAAAAAGTCCCTATGGTACCTGAGCGATACATTGACCCTCAGGCTGAAAACGGCCAAACGTCGTATAGACCCTGAACTGTGGGAATTATGCTATATTCCTCTTTCTGTGGAATGCAGGATTTATATCATCAACCGTATGGGCCCAAAACCCTTATTATAAGAGTCCTCGAGTCTCCCCAGTGTCTTGGAATCAGAAACTCACCCGAAACCGAAAACCCGAAGCCCCACCCGCCCTACCCATTCAAAACAACAGAGCCACGGTTTAGGGTTTAGGGTTTAGGGAGTTTTGCGGAGGAACCCCTTGCAAATGGTTGTTTCGATTTACGGAGGGTTTTTGAGTTGGGCACCTGGACCCATAGGGTTAGCGATTCATTGAAGCAATCCGCAAGTGGTAACCCTAAGCTCTGAACCCTGCAGCCCACAACCCAAAATCCTAAACCCTGCAGGGTTTAGGATTCAGGGTTTAGGGCCAGGTTAATACGAGGGTTCAGAGTAACCCACAGCCCAGCAAAGAAAAACCTGCAACCCACGATGCGAAACCCTAAAGTCCTGAAGCACCCCCTAAACCCTAAGACCCTAAAACCCTAAAACCCTAAAACCCTAAAACCCTAAACCCTAAAACCTAAACCTAAAACCCTAAACCCTAAAACCCTAAACCCTAAGACCCTAAACCCCTGAACCCCTAGACC